GTCTATTTTAGTACCAAAATTAAGGAGGGGGTAAAGGATTAAGACCGGTAGGGGAGAAGGAAAAAAACATAATATCTCTTAATTTCTTTATTTTTCACGACATTTAATTCTAGAGGGAATACTCTTGTTATTTTATGTTCCCGGCAAAGAAATTAAAAACATAGAAAGAGATTAAAAATGGTAAAAGAGAAAAAAAACAGAAGGAATTCGGCCATTTATTTAAACTTTCTCGGAATTTAATTCACTATTTTCGACAATAGAATTAAGGAAAGGGAAGAATGATGAAAAATGATGAAAGGGACGGGAACCCATGATTATTCGGAGATTGGCCTAATATCACCTCAATTACCCGCCATCAGCCCTGACCCCGGATTGAACATTTTCCCCGGATTTTAAAAGTTTTCAATACTGCCGATGGTCGAGGTTCCCTGTGTCGCTTTCGCTGGTTTGCTTGATTACTAAGTTGTGCCCCAACCCGGCGAGATGCAAATCCTGGTCTCTTTTCGCCTGGACCAGAGTGATCATATGATCGACGGTCCAAAAATCCCTGCTTTTCCCCCCGTCGCCTGTGGACGTGTCATCCACAGCCTGCTTGCTTTTCCGCCCTGCACACGGTTCCATCGACTTATTTGTGACCTGAGTACCTCCACGTTTCCTCCCAAGCGGACGAGTCTCCATGTCACCGTCATCGTTCTCCCCGTTGTCACTGTCGCCGTCATCTGCCGTGCAATCTCCGCCCGCCCGACCATCGCAATCCACAACCATGTCATGGCCCCCGACGTTCATCTTCGCCACCCCTCTCATTATGCTGAACGGGCTGGACGGACATGATTGTCACCAATGATCGTCCCAAACCTGTCGAGCCATGACCTCTATGGCGGACCAATCATTGTCGTCCCATCGCCCGTCGATTGCATCAGTAGGTGTCGTCGATCGGCAGGCCGCCAATCCCACCGTCCTCGTCCTTGAAGCGGCCACACCAGCACTGCTCATCGCTCCCCGCTTTTACGAAACAAGTCCACGCTCGTCGCCCAACTCACGGCAACACCTGCCGCGCTCGCTCGGAAGCCCCCCCGCCGTCGCCGAAGGCTGTGTGCGGTTGCTGCCCGAATCTGGGTTGACGACAACGGTGTGCGTCACGTCCTGACCGCAACCAGACCTCAGACCGAAGCTCAAATCGACGAGTCCTGCGTCGTAGCCGGCCGGGGTCCGCCCTTCCAGAAGATCAATGGACGTCGGCGTCGGTGGCTGTCTGAACAGCTGGTTCCCCATCCAATCCTGCGTCGAGCCCCTGCCCAGGGGAACTGTTGAGGATGTAGGGTCGTTGGTGTCGTCGTCATTCGGAGGCAACGAAATCTCGTGGGACGGCAGGTGGCTGTACAACATCGGGTCGTACGGCCACCTGCCACCTTCCACACCGGTGCAACGCAGACGTGAAGACCCCCCCGCCACTGCCGACGGCCTGGTCTTCTTCTGAAGGTTGGCCATCTTCCTCGCCTTCCATCACTTTTCGTCCACGAACGAGGCTGAGGGAGCAGATGTGGAAGACGGCAACGGCAAGCAGAAGCAAAGCGACGAGGAGCAGCAAAGGCAGCCTGCGGTACAGGTCAGCCATGAACGACAGGGCAGCGGATACAGAACATGCACTTCCGCTGTCGCATTCGAGGTGAGTGGCGACACAGTACTGGAGGAAGAAGCCAATGAAGCAGATTTCTACAATCGGGAACCGGGGGTGGACGACTACAAAATTCGTAAATTCGACTGTTAAGGAGCCCGCCCGAACAACAAAGCCCCTCCAGCAGCCGGCCGAAGACGCCCGATGCTCGTCATGGCCCCGCCGACGGGCCGCCCGAAGAACCGACAGGGTTGTCCCACGAATCGCTGGTAACGGTAAACTGAGGAGGCCGTTGCAGGACGTTGTTGACGACAATGGCCCGCAATGTCCGTCTTCTGGTCGGCGGACCACGAATGGACCACCTTCGCCCTTCAATTTTCCATCTGCAGTCGACGCCGTCAGCCCGTGAATCATGGATCCTCGGGTTCCGAACGACCTCACAAGGTCCTTTGGATTCGAGGACGATTTGCCTGGGAAATCCTTGGAGCCCGAGGATTTGTGCTCGGAGTGTTTTCACTTTTTTTTCCCGAAAATCGACTCCAAGGACAGGTGGAACGATGACGAAATCCTCGGAGTCGCGTCCCCGAGGAGTGTCTAACGACGCCCTTAGTCATTTTAGTAGTTTCAGTATTTTTTTTGCTTCGTACTTTGCTCTTTCTTTGCCCAGCTATGCGGTCCTACCCTCGGGCTACCGGTATGCCGAGCCTGCCGAGCCTGGAGGTACCAGTAGAAGGAGGTGTTGAGCCTGGAGGAATCAGTACGAAAAGAGAAAAGAGAAAAAGAAAAAAAATGCAACCACTCAAGGGACGTCAATGCCTGTGGATACATCCTGGGTAGCACTTGTGTCAGCATGCCCTCAATGGGGGTGTCTCAGCTGGGTGGCCTTGGTTCAATTCTAAAAAGTAAAATAAGACAGAAAAAAGAAAAGTCCCGTTGTTGTCAGATTCTTTGGAGCAAAAGAAGTGAAAAAAAAAAAAGAATGCTGCTTTGCGGCTTTGGCCCTGAAATGGGTTAGATACATTCTTTGCTGTGCCAATTCAATTTCCAGCCACGAAGGGTTCGTTTGGAGTCTCCAACAGCAGAAAACAGGGTTTGGTCGCAGTCGTCCCTAAGACCGATTGTAGGGCTTCGGTAAGTATAGGCCTCTGTCCATTGCTTCCCTTTTGAGGGATAGAGTCTTTTCCCGTTGCAAACTGGGGACGGGCTATATGGGTCTGGGCGGGCGATTTGGGTCTGGGTAGTTTCCGCTTTTGTCTTTTTTCTCTTCTACAGTAACTGCATCTTCCCTGAAATACAGTATCCAAGAATTCTGTTGTGTACTAAAGAGTAACGAAATCTAGAACGGACTGCCCTGCCTCGTTGGTAGGGGCCGTAGGGCCTACTAAATCTAGAGCGGACTGCCCTCCCTCGTTGGCAGGGCTTACTAAGAAAAGAAAAGAAAAGAAAAGAAAAAGTATTGACCTCTCCCCAAGTGTTAGTGGTGTCTGCTCTTATCAGCAGCACTAACACTGGTGGGGGTGTCTTTTGTAGAAAAAATAAAAGAAAAAAAGAAAGAAAGCAAAAAAGAACAGACTTTCAGAAAAAAAAGAAGAAAAAACGTACTTACCTTTGCAACGAGAGCTGTGGTGATCTAGGGCCTTGCTCCACAACCCCGTCCGGCGCACTTAGCGCCAACCAGCGGTTATAGTCCACTTGATACCTTTGAGCCTTGGCCAACACGGGTGTGAGTGTGAGTGCGAGTGTGAGTGGGTTGTGTGTGGTGTGTGGGAGAGTGTTGGCTTTAGACACTACCATCCAGAAGGCTGCCCAGCCCCCACTTCATAAGACCTTGCCAAGCTTACTGTCAAGAACGCAAAGCATGCTACCCTAACGACTGTGTCCCCACGTCAAACGTGGTATAACAGTATGAGTGTGCCCTCAACAAGGGTGTCTGCACGTATCACAGGTACGTGCTGCCGCTCTGGCAGGGAGATGTAAGAAAAAGTAAAAAACAAGAAAACGAAAAAGCAAGCAACATTCTGCATCCGCCCAGCTATGCTGTGAGGTACGAAGAGGAAACCAACAAAGTCAGCAAGGCTTTCCCCAACATCACGGAGCTCCAACAAGTATCTTCTTTTTTTTCTTTTGTTTTTCCCGTTTTGCACCCAGTTCGGCTGCGACCGCCTGTTCGCTGCAACGACCCCCGTCCAACGTGGCGCGTTAACAACGACCCCCGTCCAACACGGCGCGTTAATGGCCGCATCGGAAGAATTTAGCTGGGCAAGCTACTGGTGACCGAACCCGAACGATCGGAACAGATCCCGGACGTGGTCCAAAATCGACGGAGCGCGAACATTTTTATATTTTTTTATTTGTTAATATATATTTTTAATATATAGGGGTTGCGGGGTTCCAGTTGGCATTTGCGCATTGCCCATCACTGCTGAACATACACACATGCACACCCCCCCCCCCCCCCCCCCCCCCCCCCCCCCCCCCCCCCCCCCCCCCCCCCCCCCCACACACACACACACACATCTGCTGACGCAGCTGATGCAACACCTACAGCAGCTGCTGCAGTGGTAACTGATGCACCTGATGTAGCTGCTGCATTTGCTACACATAAATACATAATGACACACACACACACCCTGGACTCCAATGAAGTCCAGATATTCTTAAAATGCTGGACCCCCTGGACTCCAGCTAAGTCCAGATACATTCCTGGGGGTGTGGCATTTTAAGGAGGGAAGACGCTCAAGAGCTAAAAACTTCAACCTGAATCCGACAATTTTGTTCAAAGAATAAAAAATGTCCGTTTTGATGAAATTGCTGTTTCCGGAATGTGTCCGGAACTATGGACCTAAGGCACACAAGAAGGATGTCACTGAATGTRAAGGGTACTATGGGCTGGACAAATCATGTCATGAATAGTTATTGGTGGGGAACCACAGCGTTGGGGCACTTTCTCCCAAGCTGTTTCTCCTCAATGAGTCAGCCATGCTACAGTCTTCCGGAAGTCCAGTCACTTCAGTAACTTGACCTTAAACGAAGCAGTACATGGGCACCTGGCGCGCGGGCCTGACACCTTGAATTCTGGATGCATTGGCCAAAACGAAAACGGGACCACCGATCAATTTATCAACGGCAGGCCCAGCGTTTGACTTTTCAGCCTCGTTTTCTTGTGTGGACAAGATTCGGACTGCAAGGCTGGGGGCCGCCGTGTACTTGTGCTTTAAACCTCAAATGTATAAATAGCGCAGCTGCCCAGCAACTGTCAATTATATGCATACGCACCAAGGATTTGGGGCTGATTCCTAAACTCGCAGCGTGTGCCAGAATCTGGAGRCTGAGAGGGAGAACTTCAAGGTGAGCTATGGTTGCCAGGAGTCGCTGAGAGTAGAGGACGAGGATGCCACTGAAGAGGCTAGCTRTCTGCACGTCAAACCCTTGTGACATGAACAAGATGATGGCGTGTTCCTCCTCCTGATGTTTGGAATATTATTCGTTGTTCAACGTGCAACGTTCTACTTGCGTATGACTAAGCCAGTTTGTTTCGTGATCGACTTACGATGTGGTGAGTTGTTTTGTACAATTGGGAGATGAAGTAGATGCAATTGGCATGTTTCTCTCTCTCTCTCTCTCTCTCTCTCTCTCTCTCTCTCTCTCTCTCTCTCTCTCTCTCTCTCTCTCTCTCTCTCTCTC